CATATGCACACATAAAAGTTACATTCATATCTGGAATATATAGATGTCGTGATATACCGTGTTCATACTTTTAATTTACATCGCTGTATGATTCATATTTAAGTATCATTCCCATGTTGTTCTTGTATGTGAACTTAAAGCAATATTCACAAAACAACATTCACAGCCATAGCCACAAACAACATTCACAACCGAATCACACACACCTATTTAATGCAGCGATTCACCCTGACCTACCTGAACATTCGACAGCGTGTGTGTAGCTAACTTGACTTTCCCGTGACTGCCTGTTCCCAACGTACGACCTATCTTATAATATTGCAGTCCATTGTTTCCGCTTTCCTCTTCCGCAGTCAGATCAAACGTGCTTGGCGTACCCAACGCCGGCGGTCGTGTGTTTGAATCTTTACTGGCGCTCTTATCTAATATATCCGTGTTGTTTGCTGATGCCATCCTTGTATCTATCTCAGTATCTTTGTCCGTATCTGAATTCTCACATGCGTGTGTATCAACAAGAGTGGCTGTTCCTGTTTCTATGGACGTTTCACTCAGTCTGTGCAGTGCAGGCCTGGCTTGCAACAAGTCCCCGCATGTGGGTGCCGAATCTACCACACCCGCAGATGTGTACGCAAGTAAATGTGGCACATCGTTCTCTGTACTGGCAAACAGCTTATTGTTACTGGAGCCAATATTTAACGATTCAACGCTGCCATCTATACTATCGAGTCTTATCGGTCTCGGTGTACTCGGACTGGCTACTTTGATCGCTTCAACCTCTACGTCGTCTTCGCTCATGATACGTATGAGCATCGCTCCATCCCGTGCGCCGGAAGCAGAACGAGTTGCCATATTGGACCTCAATAATCGATTTATATTCTCCACTTTATAACTGGTGTTTGATAATATGTACTCAACCAGTCAGATATACTTGCTATGTCAATATTGATGTTTGTAGTATTAGTTGCGAGATCGTATTGCGCTCTGACGAGGCGTTGTATGAAATTTACTCCCATTCACTTGTTGATGTGCTTGCGGTTATAGGACTTTTTAATTACACGGCCATAAACATACGTGATGTACATTTCCGATTATCAACCTATTAAGATAGCGCGCAACTCCCCCAAAAGTGAGCGTATCTTCACATGCAGGGATGTGATGTGCACTTGTAGATGCGATGCGTGTATACTGGTTGATGTACTCGTGAATATTAAATGACCTGTAAGCCAATATCTAATGATACGTAGAACCGCCTTTTAAATCAAGCAGAAATAGCCAAGATATACTGTGACAGAAAGACATTAATCTGATTCTAAAGTGGCATCACTTAATAGTTATCAGTACTCGATCTATAGCTGATTTTTGTTATCTTGCGCGTCAACCAATCAGAGTTGAGAAGTTAGTTTTTTTCGAACTTAACGCGACACTATGATATCTATGATATCTCAAACCAGATATTCCATATCTGTGGCATTTTACCAATAATATAATCTATCTGTGGCATATTTTAAGCGGTCTACTGGAGTAGCGTTGGCTTGTTAAAGTCGGAGAAATGAGAGGACCCGGACTGGCGCCTGGTGGCGGGCCGGCTGTGGGCGTGGTATCAGTTTGAAAAAAAAAGAAGAAAAACGGAAATATTCATAGCCCTCTGAAAATTATACAAAATATTACGTAAATACATTTTTTTTAAAGCATATAGACTATTTGTACCATAGCCACCTTCTTCTAAATACATAGCCATCAGAGAATTTCTACTTTCTACTTTCGACCTTCAGTCTTCGGATGATAAATCTCGAAGTTTCTAACTCGTATAAATGTACACTTTTCAAAATTCAAAACCGGTTGATTTATGAATGTACATTTCGGACTTCGAACTTCGAACTTCGAAGTTCACTACATAGGCACAACGTACTCTACTTACTACTGTCATTATCGAGATGCATGTAATATAATGTCATAAATATACACGGTCACACCTGATTTAAAATCGAACGAAATGTACCACCATTCATACATTTGTCAGCAGTATGTATTCCGTTTCAAAAACATGTGGTTGAAACTTGTGAATTGATTCGTGAGCTTTTCTTCGAGAAAACCTGGTTTATTGAAAGAATTTCCCTTTCCGCAGCAAATCCATATTTGGAATTTCAAAAGTAATGGCTTTTCTGAAACGTCATACAGCTTTTATAATAAATATGTAAATTGCAATATATTGCATCTATTTATCCCTAAAACAAAAATCCCAAATACGCAAGTCATATTATGCCCATCGGCTATGCGGACGACGGATCATAGACATGCAGGAAGAAAAGCAGAAAGTCAGTCTTTGCTCGCACAATTCCCGTTACTTGGAGAAGAAATCACCAACAATCTCGAGATGGCGCTTGTGCCTACAGTTAATGAGTTTAACACTCATTGCGCTGTTAGGTTTCAGATGCGATCTTTTTTTTGTAACGGTACGACATTATCCAGACATACAAGATATTCATATGTCGGTACCATCTTCCCATAATGATGTTACAAAGACGCAAACAATTATTTCGATAGTAAGATCGGGTGAATATTATTCTTTGCAAGGAGTACCTGAGATAGATGGAAATGTGCCTGGCAGTGTCAAGAGATATGAGGAAGTAGATAGTGGAATATTTCGTCCCACACCGTACAAAACCAGAAGCCAAGCATTACACGCCGCCCATGGGGTATTACAAAGAGTTCTCGGTGCATCTATTACTAAGGGGTTCACACTTGGACTGTTGGAGCGGAGTGATGGAGACAGTACTTTTGTGATTAGCTCCACCGCTGAGCCCAATGTATGTCCTTAAAGTTACTGTCTCCCAATGACTCGCATTCGAACGCGTCGAGATACACATGTATTATTGCAGTATAGATACGTATAAGCTTTCATAGTATAATAGCGGGCATTTCCAAGATAACAAATACTTACTATTGATACGTGAAGGAGTTAGACCCTTCTAATATATATA